TTTTTGTTGGTTCCTCCTGGAGTTGTCTTCGCTGAAGAGTGATCAATTCCTCGTTGTTGACAGTAGCCTTTGATGGTTGCCTCCCTTTGTGGAATCCAATACCGACTGCGCCAGTGTTACATGCGGCCCTTCAGGGATCCAAAAGCTGGTGTACTTTGATAAATAATAATAGTCGATTAGTATGGTAATCAAATGTATTATATTAAACCAGACAAAATAAGCAGAATAATAGTGTTGATTGTAGCGAATTGTAGCTCGTTCCGAAGTTGATAATCTCCGTGTAAGTTGTGTGTGATGGCTGGGCGGCTAAGCGAGTCGTGTGGTGTTCTCGTCTCTGGATACATCTACTCAGGCTGTCTCGCTGTCCCCTATATATATGGTGGCGGCGTCCTTTGAAGTGAGCGGCGCGTGTACAGTCGTCCTTGATATGGACCTCACGAGTCACGACTATGAAAGTGGTATTCTTAGTCGAAAACACTTTTGGGTGTGGTCGCATTCCTGGTTGTTTTTATGAGCAAATATATGATATTGCGTAATCCCATTACAATATGCCGAATTACAGTATAGTATACTAATTGTATACCTGTGGAATTTGTTTTATTTGTTAAGTAGTAACTCGCTTACTACATCTCCCCCATTAAAAGTTGATTTTTATCGTCTAAAATGAGAAAAATTAACTCAAACTTCCTCCATTAGTTCAAGCACTTTCCTATGGTTACAAATTTTACATATATCAATTATTACATTCAATTATTACATTACATTCAATTATTACATGTTTACATGTTATGTCTTACATTAAATACATCGTTATAACTATATGGTACATTCCACCATATTAATTATTATTGACAAAATACAGATTATAATCCACAATATTACAGTATATATTTTGCTTATTATCTAGGTTAGTATCTTATGTGATTAACAATATATTCTTTTTTTTGTGTTTTTGTTTTACAATAATAATCTTATTTTAGTGTTAATATAATATGTGTAAATATTTCCTTTAGTATAATATGAATTCTTAAAATCTATTACAATATATTTTTTTTTTCGTGCAATATATATATGATAAAATAGTGGTGTGTACTATATTTGATTTTTCCATTACCATGTTAATTATATTTTAAATAAATTAGATAATATATTTCTTGTTCCATCACCATGTTAATTATGTCCAATATATGCTAATATGTTCCTTTAAGTATTTGTATATTATTTTATAAAAATTGTAATCCTAAAATTCTTTTTTTTTCATTTTTCTTTCCTACGTCTACGTTTGCTACTATATATATATTTTCTAATAACCGTTATATTATTATATTTTATATCTAGTTAATATTACTATTCCTATACTGTATTTAGATTATATCTTTTTACTACAGGCCCAGATCAGCAATAAACTATTGTATTCAAGTTCTATTACATGATCAAGACTAGTATTAAATTGATTCTATTTTATTCTATTTTCGTAATGGTTCTACCTTGCTAATTGAACCCGTGACGCAAGAGTGTGCCGTAAATCAAAGCATCTTCCCGCGTAACTGGCTAAACTAACAAGATCTTATCCTCGTAATTTCTTATTGAGATTTATTAAGGCCATTTGGTCTTTTGGTGATCCCGCTAAAAAATCTGTTATACACACGATTTTCGAACCAACCACCAAACGATCAAATCCCAATATTTTCTTTAAGTTGTCAAACCGTTCGGTATATAATAGTGCAACATTTATCTATCTCCAACAATAATAGATTAAATATGTCCCTATTATGTACCGCTCGATTTCTAATCGTATATTTTTCGCGTTCTTTTCTGAAATTAATTTATTTAGATTACTATTTTTCATTAGTTCATTATTAGTATCTAGCGTTATCTTGTTTTTTTTAAATTTTACTTTAGTGTGTTAATTAAGCTATTTGTTATTTGCTATAATAAAAAATTAAAATTCGTTAAAATTATATTTCACAACGTGGTTCTATGTACGTGGTATTGTCTATAATGGTTGGAATTGCTTTACCAAATTTTGATACCCATATTCCCTAACCATTTTGTTGAATATGCACTTTGTAAATCTCACATCGGTTTTTGGATCGTGAGCATACGTTATTTTGTGTTTATGTGTACATATGCCGCTATGTGCTTTCGTTAAATTTAATAGCCTACCATTCTTTTGGATTCTACCTACATTGAATTCGAAAATTCTTTCAGTTATTTTTCCCCTTAATCTTTCCAATATCATGTAGAAGTCCCCATTGAAATTTAAATCATAGCATCTAATATTTAGTATTTGTATATCTCCTAACCCTAATCTATTTAGGATATTCCTATCGTATGATCCCCCAAACAATACCATTACATTTATCTTATTTCCATGCAAAATATAATTTCTTATGAATTCTGGTGTTAAGTTATTTAATTGAGAATTCAGACTTTTATTAAGTTGCGCTAAGCAGGTCGTCTCCACCTCCTTTTTGTTGTGAAAAATCCGCCTTATTGATTTCTCTGCCAACTGTGTTTCACGAACAGTCATAACTCTTACCTGTTCATGAAGTGGCAAGAGAAGCGGTTTCCCCTCGAGCTTACGAATCTTACATTTGTTTAAGCTGTTTGAAATCGCCCCTGATATTAGCACAATGTCTGTTCTCTTCATATTGGTGAATTCGAAATCCATGACAACGAACTTGACTTCCCTTCTAATGTAAAAGTCGGTAATATATTTAATATTATTATTAATTTAAAATTAATGTGTTTCAGTCTAATTACTATTTCTAACTACTTGTGTAAATACGTGTTTTTTTTTCTAATTAATAAAATATTCTTTCATAGGTTATTTTATTTGGGGTGGTACATCCTCCCCTCCAAGTGGACTTTGTTCGTCTATCTTATTAAGTTTTTGTTCAACTTTGATATTATCCGTACAAAGTTTACTTCTACCTAGTCGTACCATTTCATATTGTGGACGTCGCAACGAAATAAGCCTACATTTATACGTTATGTATATAAATATGATTAACATGACCGAGAATACTATCAAGCCCAATGTTAAATAAAATAAATAATTACGCGTATCGCTTGATTCTAGCTGTCCTGATTGTGTTAATAATTCATTATCGATTTGTTGTTGTACTTTATCTAGCGATTGTGCTATTTCGTGTATTTTTTCGAGTTTATGTGAATCTTGTTTAACCATTATCTTAGGTAGATTCATACTTTTGATTCTATCAGATACTTTAAATGATATTTTTCCCTGTCCCACTTCGGGTATAAAGTTAACATAATGTTTTGATTTTATTTCTTGTGTTGGATTTAAGATAATATCGTTCCCGTACGCTCTACATTTTGAGCTCAACCAAATTAATCCTTGCTTTCGTATTTTCGTAATGTATGGTTCTGAGTTTTCCCTACACGCGATAGTTAATGTTTCTCCCTTTGTTGTGTATATCCAAGTGTTCGCATGTTTTAACTTATAAAATATATCTTTTGATAATACTAAAACTCCCGTCTCGCATGTTTCTGGCAAGACATCCGGATTTTTGAATAAAGCTATCTCACATGGATTTTTGTTGTTCGAGTGAACTACTGGCGAAAATTCTGGACATATTGTAAATATTTCTGTTTCCGTACAATGTAAAAGTTGAGTCTCTGTGAACGTGGTATATTGTTCCCTATTCTTTGTAATCGCTACATATTGGAATTCTGGTTTTAAAACAATACTATGATTTTTATTCTTTATTCCATTAATCATTGTTTCAACCGGTTGTGGTATTGGAAGTATTCTGAACAACGTGAGTTCTAATTCGGTAACCAGCGGAAGCTTTATTACGAAAACGATTTGACTGTCTTTATAGAATACTGCCATTTTCGTAATTTTACTTAATTCGTAAATTTCATTCGGATTTGTGCCCATAGGTAAATTTAAATTAATTGGTAAAGTTAACTTAATTTGTGTTAAATGTTCTGCCATTTCACGCGGTGTCATTAAACTTGGGTGTATTACTCCGGTCCTAGCCGCGGTTATAATAGCACTTATCGATTGCGTTTCCATTGAATATTGTGATAATAACGCTGTGAATATACCATGTATTTTGTTTGATAAAACTAATGCCTCTAATGTGTTTGTTTTATTAATTACTTCGTTTATTATATCATTTTTATTTACCAATTCATTGTATAATTTATTTATTTCTTCAGATGTAGTACTAATCCCCTTTACAGTAGATTTAACTACCGTAGTTTGGTCCTTAAGTATGTGTAACATGCGTTCGTTAGTTCGTTCTATTTTACCTATTTCTTCTACCGATTCTTTTGCACATTCTTCATCGCATACCCCGAATAATGTTTTCATAGCCGAACCTACGAAATTTATTAGACCCCGTCTTTTCCTACTTGGGTATGTGGTCGCTTCCGATTGTTCGGTGTACCTACCTATTGATTCGTACATTTTTTCTCGTTGTAAAGAAATTTCCTGAAACATTACTTTAAAGACATTGTCTAGCCTAGAACACATATCTAGTGTTGTTGCACTATTTTTACAAAGACTAGTTATTGTACTTATTTCCGATTGCAATTTGTCATGCCTAAGGTCATAATTTTTTAACGGTAAATACGTTATCAGTTGCCAGGTCGCTCCTGTCAACCGAACCGTCCCGTAGTTTTCATAATACATCAATGTTTGATTTCGAAATTCTTCCACCCTATATGGAATTTGACCTTGCCCTGCCGTAACCAGAGACAACCTAAAACAATATATATACATTTTAGTTCAAACTCGTTTTAACTTGTTGAAATAATTTCTAATATATATATTATTTTCGTATCATCTCTCCGGCTCGGACAAAATACGCGTACTTATCGCGTTTGAAATTGAACTAATTAATTTATAATCCGTTGTCAGTGAGTTCCGGTGGTTGCTTGTTCGTTCAGAATATGGTGGCAACTCCCACCGTTCCTATACCGCCAACTATCAAAATTAATTAGTATCATTCAATTTTCTTTTATTACCGATTTTCGTTATTATTCCTAATTATATATCTATCTTCTACTTCATTAAAAATACTTTCTATAGCTACATTACTTTCTACATTAAGTAAATCCATAACATCGTTTTCATAATTACTACTACGTATATTCCTATAAATGTCAATATTACTATCGCTATCGCTAAAATCGTCCAACTCGTCCATATTACTAATTGTATTATTCGGCGTTATATTTCCTAAATTATCATTTTCATTATCACTATCCGACCACCACAGTCCAGCTGCTTCAGTCATATTAATATTTCTAATGCTAGGCTCCCGTGTCCTATTATTAACCAACTCCCTATTAGTGCTATTATTAATACTAATATTATTATTACTAACATTATTTCCATCATTGTTATCATCTAGTAGCCCATACAACCTATTAATATTTAAATAATGTGCCCATGCTTCCTTGTTTATTTCCTTATTAAATTCACAAAATTCATTGATGACCCTTTTTGCCAGTGCTATATTGTTATTCAATTGTTGTTCATTTTCATTTCCCGTAATTACAGGTGGTTCAGTGCGGTCATACACTATGCTCGCTACGCCTAGGTACTGGTTTAGCTCCGCCTTGGTCGGTCATCCGATTAATGTTCAGGTGGTAACAAAATGGTATTGTTGATATATTACACGCGTATGGATTCCGGAACCAATCCCATAACGTTTGACATAATTCGACGATTTCCGCTTCCGGAAACCTGCCAGGAAGGATGTTATTCCTATCCCCATAGTAAACGTCAATTAACGTCCTAAGATTATGTGTAATTTGTTCCATAGGTTCCTACCCTGTATATCGGTATATCTCCATTTCACCCATGTACATATCATTTTTCTTTAATATTATTACCACCAGACGACCTCCCGCCTGAACACTCAAAATCATTTCGAATTCCGGTTCTTCATTTGCACTGTTGCTGAGCTGCACTAGTAGCTTAGTGCCATCCGAATCAGTGATCACCAATGCCGTTATCTCCTCTTCCCTACAAGTTATCCTTTTAATAATAATTTTTTTTTTCTATTTAATTCTAACTAACTACTATTGCGTTTACTATTTCTACTCGTATTTTAAAATAATTTCTATCTACGGTTTCCTTAAAATGAAGCTTGTGTTATGCCAGCATATACTAATTTACTAGGAACCCCTTACCATGCATACTTATCCTACAATTAAAAAATATATATTTTTTTTTTTTATTTTATTTTTTTTTTTATTGACTAGACTTATCATTATATCTATTCCGTATTTAATTTCACCTTATGATACATTAATTTTATTTATATTCTAGTAACAATTCCGGTTCCGGTATATACTCCATGTGTTCGATTAATTCTTGGCAATATTTATTCCCGATTCTGCTTTTTGACATGTCGTAAAGAAATGTTGCGTTGCTTTGTTCCATTCTTCTTATTTTGTCTTCTGAGAAAGGTTCAGCCAATTGACTGTTTGCTATCTGTATATGTTTCGTTAAACATGGTGGCATATTACTTCCGTCACCTATCGTACATTTGTCATGTTCCCCGTTCACAATGGCGAAATCCAGTTTTGTACAGAATGATTTGTATGTTTCCCTATAATTAGATTTTTTATATTATTTAATTATATACTACCTAACTTTGTATGATTTAAATTAATTTTAATTTAATTTAATTTCTATATTATATATTTTTTTTTTTTTAAGTCGCGAATTTACTATGTCGTCACGAGTTCGTATTGTATCCATTTCCGTAAACTCTAATGTTCGTATTAGGTATCGATATCTCTCCTTCCTGACTAGTCTATAGTGCTTTACTATAGTAGTCATTATCAACAGCATTATTATTACTATTATTCCTAGTATTCCGCATACTATATATAGGTAATAAATTATGCGTTCATCTGGAATGCACACAACCGTTTTTTCATTATTATACACATAATATCTGCCTCCGGTTGTTTCGTAATTTATATTTTCACTTTCTGTGGTACTCCAGTGTTGCGTTGATATTTCGTCCGTAACATTATTCAATTCGTAATTTGATATTGTACGTCCGGTTCTTGCTGCCTGTGTAGCGTGACCTACTGTGCTAGTTATGTTTGTATAATCATTGTTTACTTCCGTGACGTTGAACTCGATTGACCTAGTTGTCGTTGCTGTGATATTCATTTGCATTCCATTGCCATTGTTTACTTTTTTTATTTCTCCCATCCGGCGATAACTTATATAATATTCCGATTCCATTTTGAGTTGTTCATAATATGATCCATTTTTATTTTTTAATTGTATTGTACTTGTACATGACTTCTTCAATAGGTACTCATGTTCAAGAATAAACAGTTGAGGTACACTTCCTTGATATGGGGTGCGACATATAATTTGTAACGATTCCATATTGCATTCATTGTACTGAAATTGTGGCAAGATTATTGTGTCAGCTTGATAGTAATCTATTCCTATCAGATTTCTTGTGTTATTATAATAGATCTTTATTTCTGATTTCTTATTGGAATTTGAATATTCCTGGCTTTTTACTGTTCCTATTGATATCGTTATTAATGAAATCCACCTATAATATTCATATATTTTATTTTTTTTTTTTTTTATATAAAATGCCATCGCGAGCACATCCCACGCCGACTTATTTGTTTAATGTATAATTATGTTTTTTTTTTTATTATTAAAATATGTGTACTTAATTTGTGTGCTATAAGTATTTCGTATCCTATACTATATTCATATTATATATGTATATACTCTACTATGCTGTATAAATATATTTTATCCTATCCTATTATTACTTAATTATGTATAATTAAAACTTCGTCATGTGTTTGTGATTTCTTCGTTATCCACATTATTATCTTCGTAATATAGTTACACATCGTTTTTGTGTACTGTCACTTTCTTGCGATTTCGTGATATAACTACATTTTCCGAATCTAGTACGTCTAGTACTTCGTATGGTCCCTTCCAAAGTGGACTTAATTTATTTCTTTGAGTATGATCTTTAAGTAAAATCATATCATTGATTTTTAACTCTTCCGTATTTGTTTTCTTATCATAATATCGTTTATTTACTTCTTTATTCTTTATTAATCTATTCCGTGCAATTTGGTGAGCTTCCTGGAACTTTTGTTTTAGATCGTATACGTAATCATCGTAATTGTACATAGGTTCTGGTTTTGCTTTCAGTTTAACTGGTATATTAATATTTTTGCCATACAGTAACGCGTATGGTTGGTACCTCGTGGACGTATGTTCCGTAGAATTGTATACAAACATGGCGTAAGGTAAAAGCTCATCCCAGTTGTCTAAACTTTTACTTACGTAGTGTCTTAAATATTCTGCCAATGTCTTATGTGAACGTTCTAGAGCCCCATTGGTCATCGGATGATAACCGGAAGTCTTAATTTTATTCATTTTTAACAATCTACATACGTCTTTGAAACAATTTGACATAAATTCGGTGCCCTGATCGCTCAAAATTTCATCCGGTATCCCATGTATACAGACAAAATTTATTACGAACGCTTTCGCCACCACGTTAGCGGTGTGACAAGGTATTGCTACCCCCAGGCTGAACTTTGTTAGATCGCATTGCATCGTGAGTATATAATTGTTACCTAACCCGGTTGTAATCAAAGGCCCTACAATGTCCAAAAATATTTTTTCAAACGGTTTCGTACTAGTTGTAGTAATTACCATTGGATATTGAATATGCTTGTTAGTATTTTTATTCATTTGACATGCTGTACAATTCTTTATATATTCTTTTACGTCCTGCTTTAAGTTCGGCCAGTTAAATTGTTTCTTTATTTTCTTTACAGTTTTGTTGACTCCTAGGTGTCCACCCAATACGGAATTATGTAATTGCTTGAAAATTACTAATTTTTCTTCCCCGCTAAATTCTAATTTGGTACAAATTAATATTTCTATATTTGTATTACGAAAAATGTATCTTATCATTGATCTGACTTTTGTCCAATCCAGTCCGTCTTGTCGTCCTAATTGGTTCATTGCTAATTTGGTTAATTTGTGTTTTTCGCAAAAATACTTAAGATTTAGTAAAGCAACGTGTAAATTTTGGTACGTGGCTAATTGCTTCTTTTTCGTTTTTGTTATTAAAAATATTATGTACCTATCTCCACTTTTGAATTTTACGACGTCACCTAAATCTTTATGAGATTTTAATTTTTTGTCCCTACCAAATCGCATTTTTAATTCGTAATTAATACCTGATCGAAAATTATAATATTTTTCGATTTCTGATACTATGTGGTACTCCGACGGACTGTTTATTAGTTCGCCGTGTACTTCCTTTACGTCCTTATTAGATATTAATGTTGTTTCGAATTTTTGCATAAAATTATCATAACTTTCGTCTTTAATTTCCGTAATATTATACATACGCGATAACGCGTCGACATTGGTGTTTAATTTGCCCATTTTGTATACTATTTCATATTCGTATTCCTCCAATTGTAGCCTCCACCTTGCCAATCGGGATAATGGGTCTTTTAAATTAAATAGCCATGACAAAGGCCTATGGTCCGTAAGAATTGTAAATTTTCTACCATATAAATACGGTCGAAATGTTTTTACGCCGAATATAATCGCCAAACATTCCAGTTCCGTTGCCGAATAATTACATTCCGCCCTATTTAAAGTTCTAGAACTGTAAGCTATTGGTAAATCCGATCCTATTTTACCTTGAGATAATATTGCCCCTAGCGCCCTACCGCTAGCGTCTGTCGTAAGTATAAATTGTTTTGTAAAATCTGGATATTGTAGAATTGGTTCTGAACATAATATTTCTTTTAATTTATCGAAAGCTTTTTGACAAATTTCGTCCCAATTAAATTTTACGTCTTTTCTTAATAATTTCACTATTGGATTAGCAATAGCACTATAGTTTTCTATGAATTTTCTATAATACCCATTAAGTCCTAAAAAACTTTTTATTTGTTTAACATTTTTAGGAACCGGAAAATCCTTTACAGCTTTAACTTTTGCTTGGTCCGGTTTTATTCCTTCGTCACTAATTACATGACCTAAAAATAAACATTCCCGTTGTAAAAAACTACACTTATCCGGTTCTATTTTTAGATTGTGTATACGTAATCTCTCGAATACGTCTATTAATTTTTCATTGTGGTCTTGCAAATTTTTAGCATACACTATTATGTCATCCAGGTATACTAAACACTTCATTCCTATCAACCCTGATAACACGTTTGTCATCATTTTTTGAAATGTCGCCGGAGCTGA